CGGCTACCAAGAAGGCACACGTGAAGAGACGTACTTCGTGATATTTCAGTTTAAAATAGCTCATACTGGAAGATATTAATCCAAATTGTCCTTGTTCGACGCCGTGAGCACAAAGCAGTTGATTCTGGTTACAATTTGGAGCCCATTTGCCAGGTATGCCTTTCCCTCGAGGACATGTTTTCATCTCAACGCGATGAATACAACTGCTGAGCAACCGCGCAAAAATTGATAATATCCTATACAACGCAATGCATCTTGGGAATATTTTCACCCCTCCTCTGGTGGCGTATGAAAAATAATCGCATTTTAATAAAAAGGAAGGCTACGGAAAACCTCTTATAACTGAAACAAATCGAGTTTGATCGCCTCAAAATTTATCATTTTATATTATTTTAGGATTCTTTTATCAGATTCTGAAAAATTATAGAAATCGCTTTACGTTTTCCTGTTCAAAAGCGCGTTTTAAAAAAGGACCTGTCAGCCCGATAAATACCCGCGGGCCACCTTAATCCAAAGGTATACTGGCACACATCTTTCTGCATACAACTCTGTTGTTTTTGGACTGTTTTATTATAAGAATGACGTCATCATGCAGTTTAAACTAAAAGGGAAAAATGCAAAAGCATAGTTAATAGAGGGAAATGGTTATGAAGCTCGGCAAACTTCAAAGGAGCAAACAAAGAGGCCAAGATTTATGTTGAAAGGTCAATGACCGTGCACATCTTTTGTTTTGCGCTCACACTATGAAATCAAAACCCATGAAAATCTCGTGGATTTATTCATGGCAAATCCATGGCATTTTCACAAGTTTTTCACAGGATTTTCATGGTTAAAATTAATGGCATTTTCATGGGATTTGTACCATGAAAATACCATGAAAAAAGCCATGAAAATCCTGTGAAAATTTCCATATTCATGGCCCATGAAATCTCCCACATTGTGTACAAGGCCATGAAATACCCATGAAAAAGCCATTAAATTTTCATGGGGCACAGCGTCAGGTTTTTAATGACCCATGAATAAAACACCTGGATTTTCATGGTGTCCACTTTCATGGGTTTTTAATGGGTTGCAAATTCATGGCCCATGAATATCCTGTGAATATGGAAATTTTCATTGACCATGAAAATTCTCTGAGGGTTTTCATGGCCTTTCCATGGTATTTTTATGGCTCATGAAAGTTAACCCCCATTTGGTTCTCCACCTTTTTACATGGGGTATGGGAAGGCACACACGTACCATGAAAATTCCATTAAATTGCCATGAATTTTTGAATGTAATTTAAATTGATCTACACGTGCAATGTAACTGGATCAAAACTGAATTTAATCATACCTCGACTGGAAAAACTTATCATACACGCTGTTTGGTTTTCAGTACATTGCTACTCTGGAGTTTTCAATTGAGACTTAATTTTTGGGAAAGTGCTGTCATTCATAAACAGTGTACCAGGCACAAAACATCAAACAGACCTAAACATCAATATTTTCTGTTCATACTTTATTCCACTTACCAAAATCGTTGTGTTAAGGTTGTCAATAGCAATACAGTGTCGGTCAATTGTTTCCATATTAATTTTAATCAAAAAGACATGTTAGTCGATGTTACAAGTGAACTTAGCTTTATAAACATAAGCTTTAGCTTATTGCCCTTCTGGTGACTGTATACTTCAAGCCTTTCTGTCTCTATCAATAGCTCAGCTACAACAAAAGCACAAAGCAACATTGTGTGGTTACAATCAGATCTCGCTTCTTCCTCTGACAGATCAGACTAGCTGCTGGAGTATAAATTCATAAGGAGACAGGATTTAAGCTTACATGCAAGTTCAATGCTTTCAGTTGATAACACAAATTAACTGATCACATCAGGCATACTATTGTGGAAATGCAAGTATTCTATCTAAAGAAGATTTACTTCAAGGATTCATTACAGTTTTTCCCATACTTACTTTGTTTCTCAGAAGTACAAGATCTTGTGTTCCTTGCTTTCAAAATTTCGATCAATGCCCGCCAGAAAAAACGATCTTTTGAACTTGGTTACTACAGCATCATGGGATATATCAGCCTCGTTCCCAGGATCTCAAATCCAATATGGCGGCTGGTGTACATACACATACAGCAAAACGTTTTTACTCATTTTAATGGCCTGTTATAGCAATGAAAGTAATCAGAATTCATGTTCAGAAATGCACGGTGATTCTAAGCTGCAATTATATTGCTGTAAAGTTTGAAAATTATGGATTTTCGTTGTGAGAATGATGAAATATTCAGAGTACAAACATGCCAATAAGCTTTGTACTTACATGTAAACAAGACATTGGGATTGATTCTCATATAATCGCCTTCTCAGTTCAACTTTGAGCATTCCAAAAGGTAAGCTGACTTCTTTTGATAATGTATGCTTTTTTCCATTAGGTAATTTGAATTTAACTTAGTAGTCATTGGAAGCCATTTTCGATTTCCTAAGTAACTCCAAATTGTTGTTGTAGTGATCAGTCTGTGTATTCGTATTTTGGATTATGGCCAATCTAACACACCCCTAGGAAATGTGCAAAGCTCTTATAATCATGCAATTTATGCTTTAACAGGGTAATGATGATGTCTTAACTTGCAAAAGATCAAGAAAACACTCCAATGTGTGAAATGAAAATCAACTCTTATCCTTGATGGTGTTATTGTAAAAACTGGCATTTCAGAATAAATATATACCCAGGATATATAGGACTTCATAGAAATTCATGGGCCATTAAATACATTATGGTGAGTTTTCATGGAAAATTCATGACCCTATGAAATAAATGACCTTCAAAACCAACCATTTTCATGACCCATGAAAATCTATTTTTCAAGAAATTCATGGGCCATGAAATATAATACTTCATTTTTCATGGAAAATTCATGGCCTCAAATAAAGCCATGAAATTTCATTTTGCAGGATTCATGGGCCATGAAAAGATTTTCATGGGGTTTTTCAAGAGAAATTCATGGCATTTTCATAAAACTGTGGTTCATAGTGTCATACACTACATGTATGCATGAATTACGTAATCGCAACGTTTCTATTGG